TCTCCTGACCTCGAGTGATCTGCCCACCTCGGCCTCCCAAAATGCGGATTATAGACGTGAGCCACCGCGCCCGGCCATAGCATAGACTTTTGAATCTGACTTTCTGGGTTTGAATCCGAGCTTTGTCACTCCCTAGACTTGGGATCTGTAGCAAGGCATATAATTCTGCTAAGCCTTGATTTCCTGCTCTGTAAAGTGGGTATAATAATAATATCTAACTCGCAGGAATATGAGGAGGCTTAATTGAGATGATACATGTGAAGTTCTCAGCACTGTTCCTGGTTTGAAATTTAAAAGTCTGGAATGTTTGCTGAGATCATGAGGTAAAAATTTTTTCTGCATTCAACAAATAAACAATTAATGAACTTGACCTGTTCTCAGAATGGTCTTCAGACCTCATTAATATGGAAGTCAATTGCTACTGGGTAAGAAAGGAGACTGTATCACTATTAGTCTTCAAAATGTGATTATATAAAGCAAATGTTGATGAAAAAGTGAAATTAAGGAAGGAAACAGTTAAGGCTACAAATTTATGAAATACAGAACAAAAAGCCAAGAAGATGAAGAAAAACAAAAGCAAACTTTTGAAAAAAGTAATAAAATTAATAAACCTTTGATAAGACCATTCACAGGATAGAGAGAGAGAGAAATAAAGGGAAAGAGAGAGAGAGAGAAGATGCAAAAGACTTACAAAATAGTACAATATTATAAATAACCGTAAAGCCGGGCACAGTGGCTCACACCTGTAATCCCAGCACTTTGGGAGGCCGAGGCTGGTGGATCACTTGAGGTCTGGAGTTTGAGAGCAGCCTAGCCAACATGGTGAAACCTCATCTCTACTAAAAATACAAAAAACATAACCGGGTGCGGTGGCTCACGCCTGTAATCCCAGCACTTTGGGTGGCTGAGATGGGTGGATCACGAGGTCAGGAGTTCAATACCAGCTTGGCCAAGGTGGTAAAACCCCATCTCTACAACAAATATATATATTTAAAAAAAAAATTAGCCATGTGTGGTGGAGCGTGCCTGTAATCCCAGCTACTCAGGAGGCTGAGGCAGGAGAATCACTTGAATCCAGGAAGCAGAGGTTGCAGTGAGCCGAGATCATGCCACTGCACTCCAGCCTGGGCAACAGAGCTAGACTATGTCTCAAAAAATAAAAATAATAAAAATAGCTGTATAATAACATATTTCATAATCTAGATGAAACTGTTGGAAAAAATATAAGATGTCAAAATTAGTGCAAGAATAAAGAACACTTTAATAGAAATGGGAATCGATAAAATACCACCCCCCTACCAAAGGCTGTAAGCCCAAGAAGAATCTATAGGTGAGCCTTATCAAACATTCAAGGAACAAATAATTCCCATCTTATGCAACTTGTTCCAGAAATAGAAAAAGAGGGAAAACTGCCCCGTTCATTTTGTGAGCTCAATTTGTCCTTGGTTCCAAAAAAGAAATATTAAAGCCATTTCACTAATAGACATATTTGAGAAGGTTCTACAAAACACGAGCTAACTAAATCCAACAGTGTCTTCAAGGATAATGTATCATGAGAAAGGAGTTTGGTTGAGTTGTACAAAAAAGTTCAACATCAGAAAACTTATTGATGTAATTCATGACATTGATGAGTAGAAGAGAAAACTCACATGATTATCTTAACAGATGGAGACAAAGTATTTGATAATGTTTATCATCTGTTTATTATTTGTCAAAAACTCTGAGTTAACTAAAAACATATGAGACCTTTCTTAATATGGTGAAGACCGTGGGCCAGAAACCTATGTCAAAGGCTACATTTGATGCAGAAAAGTTAAGCATATTTCTATAATATTGTGAGCACACTCCATAGGTGCTATGAATAACAAATTATAATTGTTAAATAAATGTTCTCAAAATCTGTGTGCACCTTTCCTAAAAAGATAAATTGTAGCTAGTAGTGGTGGCTCACACCTGTAATCCCAGCACTTTGGGAGGCCGAGATGGGAGGATTACTTGAGCCCAGGAGTTCAAGACCAGCCTAGCCAACATAGTGAGACCCTGTCTTTTTTCATTTTTTTGATATATTTTTTTTTGAGATGAAGTCTCACTCTGTCTCCCAGATTGGAGTGCAGTGGTGTGATCTTGGCTGACTGCAATCTTCACCTCCCGGGTTCAAGTGAATCTCCTGCCTCAGCCTCCTGAGTAGCTGAGATTACAGGCATGCACTACAATGCCCAGCTAATTTTTTAAATAGAGACAGGGTCTCACTGTGTTGGCCAGGCTAGGCTCAAACTCCTGACCTCAGGTGATTTGCCTGCCTTGGCCTCCCAAGGTGCTAGGATTACAGGCATGAGCTATCATGCCTGGCCTTCATTTTTAAATAATAAAAATAAATTAAAATCAAATACAAATTTAATCTAATTTTTTTTTTTTTTTTTTTTTTTTTTTTTT